TGGTAGGAAGTACCTGCCTGCTCCCACCTGCTTCTCCCTTTCTCTCAAGTATGCATCCCAAAAAGTGCAGGCCTGCCAAGCTTAAGCACAAAATCCATTCTGTTGGCACCTGCTTCACACTCTCATGCAGGGGAAGTCAAATCTATGTTTTTGCAGAGTGAAGCTGAGGCCTCCCTCCCACTGCACCCTGAGCACAGCTGCCCCACTGATCCATGAGTGTTACACATCACAAAGGCCCACACGCTGTCCCAGCGTCCTGGCAGGTGTTCAGGTGTTGCATGAACCCATGTGGAGATCTCCTGCTGTAGAGGAAAGGCAGGAAAGTCCTTGGCTCCATTGTGCAAGCGCTGCAAGGCAAGAACCAAAACATCTCTGAATTAGAAACACTGTTTTCAGTGCAAATCCAAAGAAGAAAATTAGGCTACCCCCCGCCAAAATAAGCACAGCCACCCCTCATTTCATATACCATTTACATCATGCTCAAGTCTCACACTATCCAAATACATTTTCAATACTCACCACCACTCTTCCCATCCTTTGATATAACACACAGATATCATTCCCTTAGTCTATGGATTACCCCTGTGAAATGTCTGTAAAATGCCCATAAAGGTCCACAGATGTCCACAAAATGCCCAGTGAGTTCATTTAGGCCATGACTTTGGGTCAAGCTGTTGTGGTGGTCACTCAGGACAGGAGGGGAGCTGTGTGAGGTGGAGTTACTGATCACCAAAGGCGGCTCAGGTTGGTCACTGCTGCACTTGACTGCTTCTTACCAGCCTTCTCCATTTGTTCCGGTGGCTCCTGCTGTAGTAATTCCCCGAACACGCAACTCAGGTCACAGGTTACAACAATGTATTTCCTTTACAATCTCCGCCCTGGTCCCTTTGAGCCAGGTCATATGGTTTAACATTGCAATGAACTCTTCCTTTTGCCTCTGCTCCAGCTTGGATTTATCCACAGACCACAGTCCTTTAGGGTTGTACCTGCTCCAGATGGGGCCTTTATCTGTGAGCCACAGTCTCTCCAGAGCTGTACCTGCCGCAGCACAGACTTATCCACAGCCACGGTCACTTTGAGGTGCACGTGCTCCAGGATGCCTTTATCCATGGGCCTCAAAGCTTTCAGAGCTGTACCAGCTCCAGCATGGCCTTACCCACAGCCAGGGTCCCTTCAGAAGTGACCCTGCTCCAACATAACCTTGCGCCTGTTCTGTCATGGGTTTATCCATGGACACATGGATAAACAGCTTTGAGCTGCTCCAGCATGGACTTACCCCACAGCTCCTGATGATCCAGTGTACCTGCTGCAGCATGGACTCATCCCTGGGCCACAGTTCCTTCAGAGGTACACTTGCTGTGGCACAGACATAACCACAGGCCCTTTAAGATGGACCCGCTGTGTCACAGGCTTATCCAGAGCCACAGATGCTTCAGGGTGCCCTGCTCCTCACCTGGACTCATCCACAGTCCCTTTGACAGTGAACTCACGTTCACTGGAGTTCCATCCTGTCCAGTGCAGTGGCACAGGAACAGCCCAGCCATCGCTCTGAATGTGTCCCACTTCCTTCTTCTTCCCCCAGCTTTGTATGCTGAGCATTACATCAGATGGCCTGGAATGTCCCTTTGCTCAGGTGGGGTCACCTGTCCCGGCTGTGTCCCCTCCCAGCTCCTTCTCGACTTCCAGCCTCCTCATCCGTGGGATGGGGGGTGAGGAGCAGAAAAGGCCTTGACTCTGTGCAAGCCCTGCTCATCAACAACCAAAACATCTCTTAATTAGCAACACTGTTTCCGGCACAAATCCAAAGCACAGCCCCATACCAGCTAATGGAAAGAAAATTAACTCTATCCCAGCCAAAACCAGTGCAGGAGCACAGGCTGTCCCAGGAAATGTACAAATTTGCCTGTTTCTCTGCACCTTCGCCACAAAGGTCTGTTGTGAAGGCATGCCAGGTACTTCTACTCCTCTTCACCAGCTTTTTTTCCCATGAGAATAGAATATTTCTGCAACAGGAGCACAACACAGCTCATGCATTTGGGATCTTGTAGACAAAAAAATCACTCAGTTGTTTCATCTGTCTTTCCCCCCCCAAAAAAAAAATTGCATTTTCCAAGTAATGCATGCCTTGAGATGAACTGTGCTTGGGAAATGCCTTTTCCCAGGGTCATTGATAGAATAAGGGCGAACACAAAGTGCAGTACTTGTGCACTCAGGGATGTACCTCGTGGAGTCTAAGAATCTCCGGATCATTAAAAGACATTTGGAGTTGTTCCACTACTGAGATAAATCCTCTTTTAGTAGGACTTAAGGACAAATATCTCTGCCGTGAGTAAATCAGCTATCAGAGAGAGCTGGACTAATTAGCACCATCTATTCCAATGCACACTGCGCTCCTTGGGACCGGAGCCAGTATCTGGACACACCAACTTCCTGGGATTTAGCCAGAGAGGTCACTAACACACAACAAGAAGCTGGAGATGGCTGCTTGTGATTCTAACAGCCTGGGACTCCAGCCTTGATGTCTTCCAGATCCTCAGACTTCTGTTTTCTGTCTTTCCATGTACTTGTTACAGGACAGGGCACATTTCCCATAACTGCTTCTGTTTTGAACTTTTGTTCCCACTGAGGCTGTGCTGGGAGCACACAGTGCTCTCTGCGTTGCCCCAAACATGCAGGGTGAATCACTTCATCTGCTTACTGCCTTTTTCAGGGGAGAAAAGAATGCATGTGTCCTGAGAAGTGCTAACCACATCTTTTGGGGTCACAGGCAGGCTGCATTGGGGTTAGGGTTGAATGTGACTGTGGGCTGCTCCAGTACTCTGAAATATCTTCTCTAACCAATCTTTTTTTTTCATAGGTTATGGCACATTGCATCCTAGAACTGTTGGGGGACAGATCTTCTGTGTGTTTTTTGCTCTGTTTGGAATCCCTCTCAACATAGTTTTTCTGCACCGTGTCGGTAAGATGCTCTCACTGCTGTGTAAAAAGCTGGGGAAATTCCTGTACGAGAAAGGAATGAGAAAGGTAATTGTTTCTACTTGCTCAGGCACAGTTATATGCTCACTTCTAGGATTTTTTTCTTCAAGTTTTATGTTACCTTATCCTCTATTTTATTTGTTCTCATGCTGTGTTAGATGTGCTAGGAGAGAGAGAGAGAGATTCTTCACTCACGGAGCTAAGCAGGCATGGCAGCTGTGGAGGAGATATTCAGAGAAAGGGATGCATTTTGTCTTCCCATCTAAATGGAGACATCCAACCCCCTTCAGCAATCAGTGGAGAGAGTGGGCGTCCCACCCCACTTCTCCAGACGCTTCCCTCGGGACCTAACACTCTAGGGAAATAAACGCCTCCCTTTATAACCAGTAAAGCTGATTAAACATCTCATTGGTGAGGCAGCAAAAAGCAGAAGAGCTGTGAAAAGCTGTTAGAAGTAGGTGAGCTGCAGAGGTTTCAGTGAATATTGACTCAAGGAATAGTGTGTCACTGCTCCTAACTCATTACACAGTCCTTTACTCCCTCTCCACCCTTGACTTTGGCAGAAAGGAAGCAGCAGGCTGAAGTTGTCCATTTGAGCCCAGGTGCTGAAAGGTGAGGAGACACCTGTAAAGGGCTAGAGGAGAGATGTGTCTTGCCTGGTGTATGTCCCAAGTTATTTGCAGCTTTCTCTCACCACTGCTGAGGAAGTGAGAATAGCTTTTCTGTGTCTCCTACTGTTCTCTTTCAGGGTAAGGTGTGAATGCTACAGATAACCCTGTTCAGATTGCTGAATTTCTTGCCATATCTGACAAACTTAAGTAGAAATTAAGGCTTGCTCAGGTACAGACACAAGCAAGTGCACAATGCATGAAGACATGAAAAATTATTCGTTGCCAGTTGATTTTCAGGCAATCTGGACTTATAAAAATCTGTACATGAACTACATGCGTGTCTGGCTGAAAGATCTTAACATATAACAGGTCTTTTTCTCCAGTCAAGGCTTCTTCATGACTGCTGGGAAGTAGAATGGTTCAAAAGTCACTGTCCAGGCACTTCTTTATCAGGACCTCATTAGTTAAAGGTCTTCTTGCAGTAAGATGTCCACTGGGTAGGAGAAAAGCTGTGGCACTGATGCAATGAGAAATAAAGTCAATAATCAAGACTCTTGAAGATAATACTGTCAGAAATGGTACAAATATTTTTTATAAAAAAATCTGTTTTCCCAGGCAAATTTAAATGTTCTTTAGTTGGCAACCTTGAATACCTAAAAATTAAAAATTAAGTCACCTAGTGATAAGCGGACATAGTCTGACACCAGAAAAAGCCATTGGACAGGAATTCCTCCTGCACTCATGGTCGTTGATACAATCAGATAAAAGACTACATCTTCCAGGGCTACTGTGGACATGCAACACCCATAACACATGGCTTCCCCCTACTTCCAAGCAAGGCTGAGGTGCTTCCAGAGGAAAAGCACTCAGTAGAAATCTTTCCATCCCTGTGGCCCTAGACAGCCACCCACTTTGAACAGCCACCATTATATATGGCCTACTAGCGTGTCAAATCATGATTATAATTGAACTGGTTTATTTTTCAGAAGAAGATCAAATTTCTGACCCTTTTGTTCTTCCTGGCAACGGGGATCCTAGTTTTTCTGTGCTTGCCATCAGTCTTCTTCCAGATAACAGAGGGCTGGTCCTACAGCGAAGGAATTTACTTTGCATTTATCACCCTCAGCACCATTGGCTTTGGAGATTATGTAGTAGGTAAGGTTGACTGCAGAGAGGAGACACATCAAAACAGCAGGTTTATGACTGTAATTCCTGTGGGTTGACTGCACAGGCCACCAGTGGGCTGTAGAGACAAATCTGTCAACAGGAGTCTTTGACTAGTCCTTGCCTTGTACAGTTCTGGGGGAAATACTCTTTTCTCAGGGATTTTATGTGCTGACAAACATAATGAAATGAGGTGCTTTGGGGTGCAAAGAAGACAAGTATTTTGGTGAGGGAAGGAGAAGTGTAAGGGGAGAATTCAATGAGCCTGGGAATTTGTACACACCAAATGGGAACAGTTGGCAACAATCATACAAAACAAGGCACATATCACTGCTTTAGCTATCTAAGACTTATGTTTCAAAGTGTAGAGTAAAGAAATAAGTTGTCAAGTTTCAGAAGACATGATTTTGCACAACAGACTGAGAGGTGGAAATCCCAGTCGTGGGAAAGTGGAGAAAAGTACTCATCAGTCTTTGAGAAGTGGGCTTAAAGACACATATCACTGCAAAAGTGGCCTTCTTTGATCTCCTGAGCATCTCTGAAGGTTCCCTGTCTTCACAAACCAGAGCTGAGGACTTCCCCTGAGGAAAAACTGTTTAAGACACATCCAAGCATTCCAGAATGCTTCTCAAAACGCTTCTGTGGATCTGCTGACCAAAATACACTCTCTGAAGAATTTCCAGAGGAACTCCAAAATGTTCACCAGGAGCCAAATCACTGTCCACAGAAGAAGAAAGGAAACACCTGGACTTCATGGAGAATCAAAGATTTCTCCACAACAACCTGTTCTGCCAGCATCTTGCCAGCCTGAACTTCTCCTCAGTGGGGATAAGCGAAGGAAGCTGTGCAGCTAATACCTGAGCACCCTACAGAGAATCTGGAAGCTTCATGTTCCTTTCTGAGGGACAGAAATCCACCAAAACCTCTAAAGCACTTTCCTCCTCTGAAACCATATTACTTTACAATGCAATTAATTGTGTTTTAATTTTTTAATTGTTATTTTAAAACAACAATTAGGTAGGCCTCCTGGCTTTATGGTTTTACCTTCATTAGGATGACTTAACTGGAGCTGAAATATTTTTCCTTGCCAGTATTTACCTTGATTTGCCTTAACAGCAGTAATAAAATGGTAATAAGTTTAATGCTTCACATCTTCACAATGAAGCAAGCACAATCAGTAACTGCTCTGAGTGTCAGGCATCGCTTACAGATGACAAATGTTTTTGTGCTGGCCAAGCAGAACAGAACAGATTTGAGTTTATTTGCATTTTATGAATTCAAAACTGGTTTGTAGCTAAGCCTGTTTTGGGTAGGGAGGCACACAAGGAATGTGGCAGAGACTGGATTTAAGTGTTTGGAATACATGTGCATACAGGTGATACCTCTGGGATGAAACTCCCCTGTGGGCTGTTAACCAAGTATGTGCCCTGCTCAAGTCCAGTTTTGAGTTAACATTATAAAGATATTGCCAGTTGCTTTGCTAACCCCACATCATGAACTTGGGATAAGAGCAGAAGGCTGAGAATGTCTCTGCCAACTCAACTCCAGCAGAAGAAAAAGAAACAGCTGTTGGGTATCAATCCATGAGGACAAACCTGCCCAGTCCTACCCCGTTTCCAGAGCTCCTGGATGACAAAGAACAAAAAATCTTGCACAGTAATCTGTGCAGTTCAGAGCACTGCAGGATCTGACAAGAGTTGCCAGCATCCTGACTCCTTCCACGCAGGTTCTCAAAGGGAAGTGATCCAGCAGGTTTGTGGAGATCTCCCTGTCCATGTACATGGCTGTGTTACCAACTATGTGGAGCCACCCCTGGCAGTGACTTGGAGCACTCAATAAGCAATATCACCAAGTTTTCCTGCAGATGCCAGTGCCACATCCTCTGCATCACAATGATAATGTTGTGTGGGACCAAGTTCAGTAGGAGAAAATGCTTTATGTGTCTTGGGGGTAGATTGCTGATGTGTGAAGAATCAGACTAAATGACCCACGCAGAACAGCAGGTGTGAGATGCTGGCTGATGCTAAGAGGGTTGGACTGCATGAAATGAGCTTTGGTTCACTGGTTTCCAGTACAGAAAGTTGTGTTCTTGGCATGTGTCAATGAATTCTCATCAGTCACCTAGTTTTTTTAATGGAGGAAGCTCCTGAAACCATTGAAAAGTAAGGTAGGAATTGCAACTAGTCTCTTTGTATGAACACAGGTACCTGTCATTTAAAGGAAGTATTTACTAGGATATAATCACACTCTATATAAATACAGAGGATTACAGTAACCCAGGTAGTAATGGTTGTGTGATTATAGCAGCCCACTATGCTTTGGGAGTTTGGGAATATTTCCAAGATAATACAATACAATTGAACACTACTTCCCACATAATTGCATTTACCTGTAGATGCAGCAGTTAAACTAGGAGTGAAATGCTATAAGGGGAAAAAATATCCTGCTCTCATGCTAATTCACCTCAATCACCGAATCATAGAACCATGGAATGATTCACTTCAATCCCTGTGTGTCTTTTGACAGGCCAGCATATTTGTGCTAGCATATATCAGTTTACTGCAACAATAAACACAATAAACCATTGCCCAGCCTTAATCTAATGCTGGGGAGGTGAGAGTCTCCACTACAATGAAAAAGTCACCTTAAAGTTCTCAGTGTAAAATATATTGATGCATTCATTAAACTGTTCCACTTCACTTTGGCAAGGCAATTTTAACTTGTTAATTTTCTTCTTCTTTCTCTCCCCTTATCTTCAGGCAAACAGTCTGGCAGGAATTACTTTTCCTACTATCGAGTGGTGGTGGCCATTTGGATTCTTTTCGGCCTTGCCTGGATTGCTCTGCTGTTTAATTTATTGACAACGGTACTTGAAGACACTGAAAAAATAATTGTCAAGGATCTCCAGCAAATTGGAAAGGTGAGTAAGGACAATGTAGCAAGCCAGCAAAGAAGATGCTGGCCTGTTCAGTTTATTCCAGAAGAAGAACAACTACCACCACGTGCTGGAGGGGATGCACAGAAAATGGAGCCATTAACAGCAGACTCTGAGCACACAGAAAATGAAAAAAATTAGTTTTCTAATAGAACAACTACTGCCATAACATATAAGAGTTGAATTCTTCATTGGAGAGTTGATAGTTAATTATTCTAAAGAAAATCCCATGGAAATAAAGTTTTCCTACCTTTTGCTGAGATACGACTTTTTAGAACTCAAGACTCAAAAGTTACAGAAAGCCTGAGTATTAATGGTAAGAAATTTGCTCCTCAGTTTGCAGCTGGGTTGTGCTAACAACCTGAGCAGTGCACTTGCTTTGCAACGTGTTTTTAAGGTGCTTTCACAAAAAATGCAGAGGAGGGGCACGGTGGAGCTTGCTGGCTCTATTTGGATTTTGCTGCTTGCAAGAAATCATGTCTCTTCCACGAACTGGCATTGCCCAAGCTTTTCTGAGGCATTGCATAGCACTTTTGGAAGAAGAAATAAGGGTATATAACTGAATAGATGCCTGATTTGAGCCATCATATTGGATACAGTATTGTGGTCTGAAAGATGTGTTTGAATGGCAAGACCTGGGCTCAGTTCAGAGACATCAGAAGCATCTAATGGGCAGGGTTATGAAAAGGTTAGCATGTTAGACATGATTCATTCTACCTCTTCCTGTTTTATACTAGGTTGAATAAAGGCAATTTTACCTTTTATCCCCATGTCTCTGAAAAACCTTTCTGACAGTTTTTGTGAAGAGCACATAAACCCATGTCTTTAATTCAAATGTTCTAATAATTTTATTCTATAAGCTTTTCAGAAGAACAGAGAGCAGTTTGAAGGGAGGAGTCCTCACTGCATCAGAGCCCTGCTGCTATGTTTGTATTGCATGGGAACTGTGAAGTCATTCTGAGGGGCTGTAGCTTTCCAAGGGCGAGTGGTGTCTAAACCTTCAACCAGGTGGAAAAAAAAAAAGAATGCCAGATCTGGGCATGGTTTCTCAGATGTACTGTCTGGCTTGCAGGCCACCTCTGGGTGAAGAGACTGACCTTCAAAGGCTTGATCTATGCGTCATGTGCCTTCTGTGTGTCAAAAGTGCAGGGGAACCCAAACCTGAAGTGCTGGCAAAGCAGCTGGGATGGACACAGTCATAGACACATGTCCCATGGGTGTATATGGTTACACCAAAAGTCAGCCTAGTCCAATACCCTATTTCTGATCATGCCTCCAAATAGTGTAAGAAAGAGGCCGCTCTGTCATGACCCAGCGCTGGGGTCAAATCCCTCTTTCAGCAGTTGGGGGCTCAAAACTGTCCAAAACAGGTGGTGGGATCTCTGTACATCAAATCCCATGGACTTCCCCACATGTTGAACTCACACCAGCACCCACAGGACCCACCCAAGGCAGTCCACAGGTTTAGCACACAAAATGCCTTTCTTTGACAGTGTTGAACATGTCACTTGACAGGTTTTTGTGAGCCCCTCAAGCTCCTGTTTTGTCAGACTGAATAATTGTTCTTTGATCACCCTCTGGGTGTTAGTTACGGCAAGACCAGTCCTTGCCAGAGTTATTCCTGTATGAAAGGGAGAATAAATTACAGCTATAAAGTAATTTCAGGTCATAAAGATGCAATCAGCCTTGAAGTTAGATTCATTACTATTTCAGTCAAACAGAATCATGCTTCTTGCCAAAACAGTTCTGCTGTTTCAAGACCTGGCATGTAAACCTGACCAAATATGTACTTTCTTTCCCTCCACAAAATATTTTCCAGTGTTAGCCTCAAGGCTGACTTTTCACCTCATATGTCTCACTGTCAGTAAACCTTTCTGAGGCAGCAGGAACAAGAACTGACTGAAATTAGGGAAGGGTAGCAGGGGTATCATAGGACACAGTGGTCCTTGTGCAAGCCGGAATCCCGTTGCTCTCACAGGGCAACACCAGAGCCAGGCAGAGAAAGCAGCTGAATGCTCCCAGGCAGGGATCTCTTCACATCTCTGTTTTTCCCTCTGACCGAGCATTGACCCACATTATAATTTTCCAGGTATAATTTTTTTTCTCTTCTTTTTTTTTTTTTTTTCCCCCCATCCCTTCCTACAAGGACTGTTAACCCCACCCCCAGTCTAGTGGAGGTACTGTCAGGGATGGTTTAGGGAGGGGTGGTCCTGCCTTGGGGGTGAAATAGTCATTTTGCACAGCCTCTCATAATTCCTTCCAAGCCCAAGGAAGAGTTTTCTTCAACTTCTTCCCGCTGTCCCACTTGCTCCCCGTTGTGACAAATAACACAACCCAGCCCTGGAACAAGCTGGTGATGTCCCGTTGCAACGCAGAACAACTGAAGATGCTTTTTATAGACATTTCAGGAAGGGCAAGAGGGACATCCCATGGACTCTGACTGTAATCAGCAAGAACAGAGCCAGACAGTGGCTCTTTGAGCAAAACAGGACAAATTCTATTTCCTTTGCACTGGTGAATGTTTAACAATAAGCCTTGAAACCCAAGCACTTCCCACTGCCACGAGTCCATCTGCCCTGTGCAGTTACTGCCACAGGGTGCAGGTGATTCACCTTTTGACTCGTTCCTCTTGCCACCCTTCCCAGGAAAGGATGCGGCACAGAGGGACTGGAAAAGTTACCCAGGGACGGGGGATGGAGGAAAGATTAGCCAGGAATGCCCCGTCATGGGGCTGTCCACCTTCGGGCACCAAGAGCTGAGGTGTCCCTTCAGCTGTAGATGCCAGCCTGGGAACACAGAAATCCACGTCCACAAGGAGAAAGCTCAGCCTCTCGGAGAAAGAAGACCGGTCCTTCATAAATCCTCAGCCCCGCGGGGAGCCCCTTTGAAGAAGGGTCTTAGCTTTGCTCCTCCTGCCCTCTCGTGGCTGCGTGCTGCAGACCCCCTCCCTTCGCGCTCCTGCCAAGTTTGGGTAGTTTTACTCCACCCCCCGCTGTGCAGTTCGGGGGTTTTTTTTTGTCAGTGGGAACCAGAGGAAGCCGCCCTGTATTTTGATCGAGTTCACACGACCTTGCTAAGGGCTAAAACAAGAAGGAGATGGGGATGATGGGCACCTCAAACTGGTCCACCCAGGGATCCTGCCTTATACCCACGCTGAGACAACTTTGTGGAGGTCAGCTGGGACCGTGTTGGCCTTTTGTCAGCAAACCATCGTGCCAAGGACCCTCACTGGCAGCATGCAGGGTGCCATTGAGATGGAGTACACTCCTATCACGTGCCCCAGGCACGACCTTCCCGTGGATAACACATTCCCACCCCCTGTCCCACAGGGAAAGGGATTGGGCTAGAAAAAAAATGAGCAAAAAGGCAGGTTTGGGTGCAGGCTCCAGGAGCAGGGTGAACTGGCCCAGGCTGTGGCAGCCTGGAGGGCAGGCAGGGCCTCATGCAGCGTGAGGGGTGGAGATAGGAGCTGCAGATACGAGGAATAAAGAACCAGCACCAAAGGGTGTGTGGTCGTCTCTGCTGGGAAAGGCAAGGGAAAAGCCCAGGAAAGCTGCAAGCCAGGGTGGGAGAGGAACTTTTTTGGATGCAATACTGTTTCTTGTGCTTAAGCTGAACAATAAATCTGTGTCCAGGAGGGCTTAGGCACAGCAACAAATCTCTCCAGGGCTGGAGCAAGCAGCCTTTTTCAGCATTATCACAACAGCAGCAGAACTTGTCCTCACATCACCCCTGAGAGGGGGAGCTGTTGGTTCCTGTGCAGGTAATAGGGGCCCCAGAGAAAATTCAGTATGTCACCTGAGTTCATGCATGAGACCTTTGGCTCTCTCAACCAGGACCAGGTGTCCTGTTGTTGCTTACTGACAAATTAGAGCCAGCTAGTGTTTCTGTGGTTGTTGAGGTTAAGAAAATATCGAGAAAAATTGAGAGCAAAATTAGAATGGAGATTCTGCTCCACAGCTGGAGATTTAAAATAATCCCAAGACTTTTAATTCATGAGTATAAGCCAGGCTGTGCTCTTCTTCTGCACGTCCTCCTTGCCCAAGGGACAGAAACCAGGAATAAAATCCTTTCCAAATCCCTGTTCTGCCAAGCTACGAGGTGACAGCCGTCCTCTGGAGACCAAGGGGAGGAGTTCTCCACTGGCAGATCTGTGCAGCCTGGAGCCTTTCTGGGAGCTGCTCAGAGCCCTCGCTGTGACCCATTCCCACTGCGCCGCTCAGGGAAATCCAATTTTCGCGGAGCAGCCTCCTGTGCAACTGCCAGCTCTCCCACTGCAGCTTGTTTTCAAACGGGAAACATTTCCAAGGCAAGCCAAATACTTTCCAATACATTAAACCAGTTGCTGAAAAACTCCAGGCGTGTGATGGTGAAATATATTATCTTGGGCTAAATGGCAGCAGCGTGTTCCTGCACTCAGTCTGGGCTGCTCCTCATACATCACCCACATCTTTGCTGCCAGCTAGGAAACACGGTGCATTTCTCAACTTGAAACCAAGGAAAAGCCACGAGGAATTATCTTTCCCTCAGAAATCCAATTGCCTCCAGAGAGAACAGGAGAAACTATACTTTGATCTGTCTTTAATTAGTGTACGGGCTGTTTTGGGATCATTTGAGGTCTGCCTCAATTAATAGTCAGTTCATTTGGAGGGATAATTATTTTCTGGAAGCAGAGACACGACTCAAAGCAGTGGAACACCTCAGTTAATGTAACATCATCTAGTTAGTGGGACTCTTTTTTACAGAAATTGCTAAATGTGGGCCACACACATGATGTTTTCCACTCCGTCACACTTGGACTTAAGCTTCCTCTCCTGACTCCCGACCAAAAGGCCGGATCCAGCTAGGAACTGGTTTAACAAACATAACTAATCACTCTCCAAAGGCTTGTAATCCATCCCTCATGATCATACCCGAAAAAAAAAAAAAAAAAAAACACCAGCTTTTGGTGCCAGCCAAATCCCCTTGTACCATTCCAGCAGGATTCAAAGTGGTCTTGAAGACAGATTTTATACCGTCTCTCATGTTGTAAGGGAAGGAGATCCCTTGGGATCTCTGGCACGTGTGGCTGAGGACCAGCCCGGGGCAACATTGCTGTTCCATACTAGTAAAGTCAATATTTAGCTATTCTGGGGCTAAAAGGTTGCAGAGGAGCAAAAATGCTGCCTCCAGAGAACTCTGTCAATGCTCTTATTATCCCATAGCCAGCCTCACCTCCAACCCAGAACATGAACTCAAATCTGCTTAGAAAATTCAGCATTTTCTATCACAAGGGGGTCCTGGACTCGATTAGAATAACTCCCTACCATGGGTTTGGAAAGGCTCATTTTGCTGAGTTTAAGTTAGAGCAATGATTGAATCCATTTGATTACCAGTTCAACATGATTTAGGAGACATGTCTCCTGAACAAAGACTTTCCAAAATTTTCTTTCAATTACTCTTATGTATGTGGTTGGAAACTGTAGCTGTACTTTGTGGTGAGATGTCGAAGCATGACATAATAGATCCCCAGAAAGAGAGATACACTGATAAGCAAAACAATAATAATAACAAGCATGTGTCATTGAAAAATGAGGGGAGCTACAACTTGCAGTTGAAGTTACTGGCTTCCTTGAGAGGGATTGGCCAGAAAGATGCTGATGCTCTCAAAGAATAAATGTGGTTTGAGGTGAATCCAGCTTCTCAAAGCAAAAGATGACTGTTCATCTTTTGGCGTGCAGAAAATCATGCATCAAGAACAGAAAAGAACCTAAATCAGAATTTG